ACAAACATGTTTTGGAGAAAGTAAATTTAAAAGTTCCTAAAATCTATTCAACTGCTAAGTATGGGAAATACTTAAGAGGGTGCTATGCCAGACTGTCAAAAATTTAAGTTTGACCACATACTCTCCAAGATTGCAGGAAACAGCAACTCACATATATTAAGGATAAATTAAGTATAAATCAGGTATAAGAAAATTAGAACTGTATCTGACCTGATACAGCAGCTCTACTTCTATATTCATCCTACAGATATACTGGTGTGTGGGTAAAATTATCCATACAGGAACTCTCATATATTACTATTTGAATGGCAAGTTTTAACTCTTATGAATGAGGCATTTGGCAAAATCTAGCCAAATTACCTGTAAATTTACCCTCTGAAATCTCCACTGTAATTCCAGTAATTTAACATGAAAATAAACTAAAATATGAAAAGATATAAGTTCAAAGCTTTACTAAAGCACTAGCTATAACAGCAAAAGATTGGAAAAAAAACCCCTGCTTATCAAGTGATGGTACATCAATCTATGCTACACCCATTCACTGGAGCATTAGGTAGCAATAAATGAGAAATCTCTAAATATTTTGCTGTAGAGACTGACCTACAGTTCATAATGTTAAGTAAACAAAAAATTGAGGTGCCAAACAGTGTAGCCACTTTCTCCAAGAAGAGTGGTATATTCTTATAATAAACACACAAAAAAACCAGAGCAAAACAATAATGAAAGGTTAAACTACAGTAGGTTACCGTGAGATGAAAGAGAGAGGATGGAGGAAATCAGGACAAAAGCTAGACTTCTCTGAATAAGACTTTTGTAGATTTGACTTTGGAACCATGTGAATAATTTTTCATAAGTATAAAACAAATTATTTTAAGAAGCAATTCCTCAAAATAAAAAACAAAGCTAAAAAATGAAACAAGGCATGGCTCAGTGGTTGAGCATCGATCTATGAACCAGGAAGTCACAGTTTGATTCCCAGTTACTGACAGTACAGGCCGGTTGTGGGCTCAGTCCTCAGTGGGGGGCATGCAAGAAGCAGTCCATCAATGATTCTCTCTCATCAATAATGTTTCTATGTTGCCCTCTCCTTTCCTGTCCGAAGTCAATAAAAATATTTTAAAAACCCCATTCTCATCTAGCTGGTGGAATTACCAACCAGGAATAAATAATTTCAAAACAGTAATTTAAATATACATTCCTAGTGGAATATACCTGGTGGTGCCACCAAACAACAACAAAGGAACAGGATAAAAAAAATTTAAGTCATTTTATTAGTAATTATATTTTAACTAGAGGCCCAATGCTTGAAATTCATGCAAGAGTAGGCCTTCCTTCCACCAGCTGCTGACAACGTCTTCCCTCTGGTACCCGGGACCCGGACTTCCCTCATAGCCTGGCTTTGTCCAGAAGGATGGAAGGACATTCAGAAGGATGTCCGGTCTAAGTAGCATATTACACTTTTATTATTATACATTGGTATTGTGAAATTATTTAATGTGCCTAATAGGATAAAGCAAATAAGCAATTAAGTTATCATCATTAGGAACTAAGACACTAAACCCAAGACACATATTTAACAACATAAGAAAATACATTTTCTCCAAGGCAATAACCACCAAAAGCAAAGACAAAAGAAAAATCCTGGTTTAAGATATTAGCAACTAGTATCAAAGCAATGAGCCAGTATCTCCAAAAAACGGTATATCATCAAACCTAAGACCTTCTAAGATGCATAATTATTGTATGTACTAATATGCAAAGAAACTTTTGAAATTAAACCATGTCATGAAATTATAATACACACCTAGACAAATTTCAGATGTCAAAATGTGAAAAAATGTGTATCTCAGACTCAATGTAAACAGAATTCCTATGAATCAATAATACCCTAAAGACCAAATAGAAAAATGGGCAAAGGATATTAACTTTGTTACCCAAAGAAAATAAATGGACTACATATATGAAATGTGTTCAACCTCATTCATGAAGAAAGAAATAAGATATTATTTTTCACTGGCAAAAATCAAAAGGTTGATAAAACTGTAACAAAAGTTTGAAGAAATAGGCACTCTCAGATATTGCTGATAAATTAAGTATAAATCAGGTATAAGAAAATTAGAAATATATCTGACCTAATACAGCAGCTCTCCTTCTATATACATCCTACAGATATACTTGTATGTGGGAAAAATTACCCAGAAGGCTAACTTACTCAAAATTATTTGGGGAAGGGTGGTAGATAACACCATAAATGTGGTGGTATCTATACTAAAGAAAGGGTAATATGCTAATTAGATCAGGTTGACCACTGACTTCCTTCCAGACAAAGCCATGGTGGTGGGGGGATGGGGCAGAGGCAGTTAGGGGTGATTAGGCCAGCAGGGGATGGTCATTGGGGGAAACCAGGCCAGCAGGGGAGGGCAGTTGGGGGCATTAGGAATGCAGGCAAGTGAGTGGTTAGGAGTCAGTGGTCCTGGATTGCGAGAGGGATGTCTGACCCCTGTGGGATTGGGCCTAAACCGGCAGTCAGACATCCCCCGAGAGATCCCGGAACGGAGAGGGTGCAGCCTGGGCTAAAGGACACCCCCCCCCCGCACGAATTTCGTGCACCAGGCCTCTAGTTGAATAATAACAGTATATCATAAAATGAAATGGTACATTGGAAAGAACGACGATACTCTTAATAAACGCTCATGGATGGTCTTCAGACATAATCATTTTTAGATTAGAAAAAGTGTGTATAGGATACTACCAATTATGTAAGTGTAAGGAGGTGAGACAAGAATATTGTTTTAACACATAAATATCTGATAAGAAAAACAAGAAACTGGGAACATCATTTGCCTCTGGGATAGGAAAGAGAGAGGTTGGGACTTAATTTAAAATGTTAACATTTTCTTTTGAAATATTCATTTTTAGTATAAACTAAAAATGTTTTTTAAATTAAAAAAGCAACACTTGCCTTTTTTCCTTTTGAGGTTTCAGAATCCTCATCTTCATCTATACTGAGTAGATTTGCCTCACTGCATATAAAATAAGGGAGGAAGAAACCTTAAATGGCAATTATGACCCATACATTAAATTCAGTTTTATCCTCTTTGTTCATCTAATAATTCAGGGATCAGCAAACTTTTTCTGTAAAGGGCAATAGAATAAATATTTTAACCTTTGTAGACCATACTATCATCATATCAACCACTCATCTTTTCCATTATAGTATAAAAGCCATCATAGATTACAAGTATATGTGTAGTTGTGTTCCAATAAAACGATTAACAAAAATCAAGTGGTGGGCCAGATTGGGCCTGGGAAGCATCATGGTTTGTTGATCCCCACCATAAATGAATAAAATATTTGTCGTCTTATATACAAATTTCATATATGGTCACTCATTTTTATTTTCTGTCTTGGATTTAAAATTAGGGGGAAAGGACAGAGAAACAAACTGGTAGAAAACTTTAGCTAATGAAAAGAAACAGTATTACCACAGTAAAATAGCTATACCTCTACCACTTTGAAAGAAATATCAACTCTTCACTGAGAATCACTGGCCTGAGATTTTTAAAAATCAGACTGATACATCTATTAATAAAGAGTTCATGTTAATATCAACTTGTTCAAAAAGCAAGAGCCACTGAGGATCCACTTATAATGAGGAACCCAAGAGTATGATTCATAAATGAAACATACAGGACAGGTAGCACCTTAAACGACAATTTCTTACATATCCATGACAAATCTTTTCACAGAGGAACTCAAAATACACCTTTGTGAAGGCAACTCTATAAGCTATTTTCAGTAAAAACCTAACTATTTATAGTAAAAACGTAAAATGCTTGTTTCATTACTGCTTATATATGTCCCAACTTTTTTAATGCTAAAAATTCTCTCCTTCCACACACTTTACAAAAACGTTTTTAAAATGATATATTTTCTACTCAATTTAATTTCAGATTTAGTTCCAATTTTTCAAAATGTTTGTCTTTGTTACAGTACCTATGTACTAAATGTCTGTAACAAAAACTATTTTAAATTGAAAAATAGTCAGAAATAAAAGACCATAAAATATCAATTTTAACTGAGAAACTTACCAGTTCTAAGCTCTCCTTCAAATAAAACTTCACTTCAGTTCAATAGCACATAGGTGAAGGCACATAAAATGGCAATGATGAATGGAGCTGTTGCCCAAAAAGAAGTGAAGCACCTACAATATTTAGCCAATATACTCTGAATGACTTCTTGTGTAAAATTTCTAAAACATATTTATAGTTTTGGTAGAACTTGGTGTATATATTAGTGTTTCTCTCAATTTGCTATTTGTTCTGGTTAAGGGAAAAATCAGATCAATAAACCAAGAAACTATAGCAATGCTGAATCTGTAATACAAATTCTGCATGATGCAAAAGGTTCTATTAAAACCAGTATTTGAAATTTTTCACAGAAGTAATTCCAAGTACATTAACAAATATAATGAACACTTTGCTTATTAGCTTCTGTCTGGGTCAACACCTGTGTTTATCATTTATAGTGTTTCTGCTCTCTCTGGTGATAATCGGATCTAAGATGGACAGGTGGTGAGGGGTAACTGGGAAGAAAGTTACTACAGGATCTAAACTTTCATACAAAATTCTGAGGTCTTAATCTAGGTTCACTTACTCAAGATAAATGGTAGCTTTTCAAATCACTGAACAGAATTCCGTGTTTATTTATTTTTACTAAGGAACAATTATTTAGTTGGAAATCTGTAGTATGATTGATACTTAATCATAAGGTTAAACATATTACATGTACTTATTTATACATTTCAAAAGATAAATATAACATAAAATTATTTACCAATAAAGAACTGCTTTTTCTTCATTGATGCTATTATAAAAGAGTTCAATATTTCCTTAAGAATACAATACTCTTAAAAATATTTCCATAGCAAACAATTTATATTATTTTTATAATGAAAAGTTTCATTCTTATAAAATATCTGAGGGGGAAAAAAATCTTACTCTTTATCTGTATCTCCTTCACTTTCTTCTCCATGATCAAAGCTCCAATTATTTTTAAAACCTCCATCTCTCCTAGATTCGGATCTAGTCAAAGCTGAAATAAAAACAGAGATAAGTATTAATAGAGATATCTAATCTAATAAAAGAGAAACATGCAAATTGACCACACCTCAACTACACCCCAAGCCATGCCCACCAACCAATCAGAGGGATTACATGCAAATTAACCCAACCAAGATGGCAGCCAGCAGCCACAGAGCTGGAGCAAGCAGGAGGCTTGGTTGCCCTGGCAATGGAGGAAGCCAAGCTTCCCGCCAGCCCAGACGGCCCTGAGGTCGGCTCAAGGCAACAAAGTTTCAATTGTAGAAGCTAAATAAATCCCCAATAGCTGCTTCCAGCCAGCCTCTGCTGGGAGCTTGGGTGGCCAAGGGCTTGGCCAGCCTGCAAACAGCCATCAGTCCCTCACCCAGGATGGCCACATCCTCATAGGGTGAGGGTCCCCGCTGGGGGGCTTGGCCAGTCTGCAAACAGTGATCAACCACTCACCCAGACTGGCCAGGCACCCCAGAAGGACCCCCAACATGAAGGGGGTGTGACCAGCCTACAAACAGCCCACAGCCCCTAACCCAGCCTGGCCAGGCACCCCAGTGGGGAGCCCCACCCTGAAGGGGCTGTGGCCAGCCTGCAAACAGCCATCAGCCCCTCACCCAGGCTGGCCAGGCACCCCAGTGGGACCCCCACCCTGATCCGGGACACTCTTCAGGGCAAACCAGCCGGCCCCCACCCATGCACCAGGCCTCTATCCTATACAATAAAAGGGTAATATGCAAATTGTCCCTAACAGCAGAATGACTGGTCACTATGACCACCAGGGGGCAGACACTCAATGCAGAAGCTGCTTCCTGGTGGTCAGTGCGCTCCCACGGGGGAGCTCTGCTCAGCCACAAGCCAGGTTGACAGCTGCCAGTACAGCGGAGGTGGCGTGAGCCTCTCCTGCCTACTCAGCAGTGCCAAGGATGTCTGACTGCAGCTTAGGCCTGCTCCCCGCTGGCAAGTGGACATGCCCCGAGGGCTCCCGGGCTGCCAGAGGGATGTCTGACTGACAGCTTAGGCCCAATCCCCTGGGGAGCGGGCCTAAGCCAGCAGGTGGTCATTCCCCCGAGGGGTCCCAGACTGCAAGAGGGCACAAGCTGGGCTGAGAGACCGCCTCCCACCCAGTGCACAAATTTTTGTGCACCGGGCCTCTAGTTAACTATAAAGTAAAATTGAGCATTCCCCAAGCTCTTTGTTTAGTCTAGATTTTCTTTTCACTTGAATGCCTTGATTATTACTTATGAACACCTTATTTCCTCTAAAGAGAGAAAGAACACTTTAATGTCATCCATATGTGTGAGTTTGCTAGAAAAAGTAGCTCAAATTTGTAAAATACAATAAAAATGAGGGGGAGGCACACATGAATATGTTTGAGATATTTTAAAAAATCAACCCTGTATCTTCATAATTGATCACTGATACTACAAATCAGTGCCTGTTAGTTTGCTTGCCTTACTTATGAGAACCATATCCAGACCACTAACTGACCTTTTCTTTACCTCCATCATCCCTGCCTTTTAACAGAAGAGAAACAAAAGATTTCTGTGTTGGCAATATGGTGAACTTGATTTATCAAAATCAACAACAAAAACCCTCCATCCATATCAGAGCATCAAACATGCTCATTATGAGTTTTAAAAATTTTGTAAGTGCATGGCTGAAAACCCCTGAAGTCATAAACAACTGGTAAGTGGGAACCTGGCGAAATAAACTTCTGAAGTTGTCATTTGAAGCCATGTAACAAAAGTCTGATGGCCTAGAGCCTGGTTTTTAAGATCAAGTTTAGAGCCCCAGAGCCCTGGCTGGTGTGGTTCAGGTGATTGAGCATGGTCCCATGCACCAAAAGATCGCTATGTGATTCCTAGAGTCAGAGCACATTCCAACATTTCAGGTCCAATCCCCAATAAGGAGTGTTACAGGAGTGTGTTTCTCTCACATTGATGTGTCTCTCTCCCCCTCCTTCCTTCCATTTCTATCTAAAATCAATATATATAAAGTTTGGGGACACAGCAAGATGAACGGTCAGGCTGAATACCAGAATACCTGAAGGAGAACACTCTGATTGGATGAACTAGGGTAAAACAAAGAAACTCACTGAAGAACTCAACAATGGGAATAATAATGTCCTGTCCTTGCCTCTGGATTTTAAGATTGAACTGTAGACAAAGTGTATACTCCCATGACTAGAGAATTCCTAACCATAAACTCAAATTTACTCAGATTTGGAACCAAATGTTTTATAACTTACGTGGCCCAGAAAAGCCCATAATTTTAAAAGTCTCACAAGATGCTCACTAAATATAATAGAAATGCAAATCAAAACTATAATAAGATACTAGTTCGCACCCATTAGGATGGCTATTTTTTTAATAAAAATGAAATATAGTAAGTAGTAGTGACAAAAATGTGGAAGGAATTGCAACTTTTATGCACTACTGGTGGGAATGTAAAATGCTGCAGCCACTGTGGGTAAAGTTTGGCAGTTGCCTAAAAAGTTAAACATAAAATTACCCTATGATCCATCAACCCCACTTCTATGTATACTAAGTGTATGGGTTAATAATGCAGATCTTTTCAATAGATGGAGTCACACATATGTTGATATATATGCGATTTGATATGTATGATACTTTGTTGTATCGACAGCAAACTTCAAAACTTCATATGTCAAATTTTCTGAAGGTGTTAACATCATAGATATTCAA